GATGATTAAAATCTACCACAATAGTATAATATAGAAAGATCAGATAATTAGAAATAGTAAAAAGTATATTTTTAAAGCAATTGGATTGATATCAGATGAAAGTTGAAGAATGGAACAGGGAGTGTTGGAAACAAGGTGTCATTATGAGACAATGTATGAGTGGTGATGTGGTTGAAGGGCAGACAGGAAGCTAACTTTACAGTATAGTGAAGAGAGCAAGGGAGACTTACATCATTAGAGATAGTTGATGGTACACACTGCAGCCTGGGAACCTCCTGTCCAAGCAGCGAGGACAGACACAGAAAGATCATACTCACTGAGGTTGGATTAAAGATAGAGGTCAGTTATTTAAAGAGAGAAAAGAGAGAAGTTTGGTTGTACATAAAGAGCTGTGTTAGAAACATGATAGAAGATATAAAACTAAAACTTAAAGGAACTGGAAGTTGATAATTAGTATAACAAATTTGACCACAAAATTAATTCATTAGGTAGACTAATTATTTCCCATACTGTGTTCAGTCTCACAAAAGTACCTTTATGAGCAGATAATGTACCATTGCAGCTAATTTGTTCTGATGAACTTGTGTTGTTCGTCCAACACCTATTACTTTAAAATGATAATTATCCTTTACAGCTCTGTGGATTTTGATTACACTTGGCTTGAAGCATTCTTGGGCAAAGGGGACTCAATTTTTTATGAACAGAGGAAGTGGTCCCCTGGAGGTAGAGGGGCAGGGCCCAATATGGGAAATTGAGGTTAATCTGAAAAATCCTGCTCTTTCAGTACAATTGTGGGGATTTTAACCAAATTTGGTCAAGAGCATCCTTGGGCAAGAGGGAATCGCTTTTGTATAAATGGAGAGTGCGCCCGGGGGGCAGGGGAGCAGGAACCTAAATAGGGGAAATTAAGGAAAATGTTAAAAGACCACCCATGGGTTATAAAAAGATTCTTGTAACACAACCAATAAGTGTTTCTATGTAACGTTTTGATGACTACTACCGTATGTACTCTGTTGCCTTCATCAGACAAATGACCAGTGAAACGTATGTACACAAGGGTGTCAAATGTGTACCAGTTGTCTGCAAATCAATGTTGATTGGCTACGCTGTAAACGTATGTACAGTTAGTTGTTATATATATACTGAAACGACTCGATTCAGCTACGCTTTATTTAATACTTTTGTCATAGATGTGCGAGAGTCTATTTAGAACTGGGCCACTGTGGTGTATCCTGATGGCTTCCTTTATCTGCCGCTTGAACAGATTGTTCTCTCTGTCCAATACATTGGAGTTATCCCAGTCAATCGCATGATTTTGCTGTGTGGCATGGTCTGTGATTGCTGATTAATTTATCTTGTACTTGAACTCCTTTCTTTCTGATCGGGTGAATTTCTTTCCTTCTTGGGTTTCCGTATCTTTCCCATATGCACCAAGGTGGACCCCAAATCGCCTTCCAGTCTTTCCAATATACGATGCATCGCAGTTTTTGCATCTGATTTTGTATACGCATTCTGCTAGGTTTTCTTTAGGTGTTTTATCCTTAGGGTGTACTTGGATATTAAGGAGCGTTTTGTGGGGCTTCATGGCTGTTGCTATGCCATGACCGCGATTTATCCTCAGGATGGTTTCGGATATACCCTTTATATACGGGATGACCACTTGAGATTTGGTTTTGTTCTTATCCTTGATTGGCGTTTTCTTGTTCTTCACCTTACTTTGACACTGTTTTAGGGCCCATTCCGGATATATGCAAAGGTTTTCATTTCCCTAGCGATGTGATTCTGCTCTTGTATTTTGTCCTGTTGTTCTGTGACTATTGTATCACATCTGTTGAGCAATGTGCATACAGCGCCTAATTTGAAGTTCAGGTATTGGACAGAGTACATACTGTATTAGTCATCGAAACGTTATATAGAAACACTTATTGGTTGTACATGTGTTACAAGAATCTTTTCATAATCCATACTTACCAACCAAAAGAAAATATTTAGAAATGTCCACCCATGGTAGAAGAAAGAAGGAACCCAATTAGGGGCAAGTGTTGGTGAGAGACAGAGCCAATATTTGGAGTTAGTTGCAGTATTAATTTTGATGAGAATGTTTTTCCATGGTTGCTTAATTATCTAGGTGAGCGATACAGAGCCTCTGATCCTCTTGTTCAATACCCTGTTGTACATTGGTACCCTGTTGTACATTGGTACCCTGTTGTACATTGGTACCCTATTGTACATTGGTACCCGATGGCACCCTTACTTCAGCATATACTGGTACAGTATTCTGAGTCTAAATTTTTACCCAAAGGACCATGTCAGCTAATGTTGTGGTGTGACATCTGCCATCTGTCCTTCAACTTTCCTTCTTAAAGCCTTCTAGTCTAGAACATTGGAAGGAATTAATTTTCACCTAATTTTGTATGGAGCAATCAGCAAAAGGAGTTCTATGATGTATAAATAAAGGGTATAGTCCCCATGGGTTCCTTCTGTACTGATATGTAGTCTTTTGTTAACAGGTAATCAGGTTCTGATTGTTACACAAATCTATATATGTAACTTCAAGCATTCAGCTGTACATTGTATCTTAATTATCTTGAAGGATAATGAGGTGTGTGTCATATATTAAGGCCTGACATTAGAGACAACAGTAACATAAGGTGTCATGTTGGATACTGAGGCTGAACATAAGTGTCAATAGTAACATAAGGTGTCATGTTGGATACTGAGGCTGAACATCAGTGACAACAGTAACATAAGGTGTCATGTTGGATACTGAGGCTGGACATTAGTGACAACAGTAACATAAGGTGTCATGTTTGATACTGAGGCTGGACATTAATGACAACAGTAACATAAGGTGTCATGTTGGATACTGAGGCTGGACATTAATGACAACAGTAACATGAGGTGTCTTGTTGGATACTGAGGCTGGACATTAATGACAACAGTAACATAAGGTCTCATGTTGGATACTGAGGCTGGACATTAATGACAACTGTAACATAAGGTGTCATGTTGGATACTGAGGCTGGACATTAGTGACAACATGACACCTTATGTTACTGTTGTCATAAATGTCCAGCCTCAGTATCCAACATGAGACCTTATGTTACTGAGGCTGGACATTAATGACAACAGTAACATGAGGTGTCATGTTGGATACTTAGGCTGGACATTAGTGACAACAGTAACATAAGGGGTCATGTTTGATACTGAGGCTGGACATTAATGACAACAGTAACATAATGTGTCATATTGGATACTGAGGCTGAACATCAGTGACAACAGAACCATAAGGTGTCATGTTGGATACTGAGGCTGGACATTAGTGACAACAGTAGCATGAGGTGTCTTGTTGGATACTGAGGCTGGACATTTATGACAACAGTAACATAAGGTGTCATGTTGGATACTGAGGCTGGACATTAGAGACAACAGTAACAAAATGTGGCACATGAGATGCTGAGGCTGGACGACAGTAACATAAGGTGTCATGATGGATACTGAGGCTGGACATTAATGACAACAGTAACATAAGGTCTCATGTTGGATACTGAGGCTGGACATTAGAGACAACAGTAACAAAATGTGGCACATGAGATGCTGAGGCTGGACGCTGATGATTGATATAGAGGATGTACACTACAGACTTCTCTTAAGAATGCTACAGATGTGTTGTGTCGGATACTGAGGCTGGACACTGGGCTGGTCTATCGTGAAGACCTCAGCTGTTTTTATTGATCAAGGACAAGCTATGCTAGCTATAATTAAACTGGAAACAAAGTGAAATACAGTGTCTTTGTCTTCCAGTTCTGGTATCCTGTATACCTTGTGTCAATATTTGAATTAACAGATCTGGGCTTTGGGTTGGTAAGAGAGGATTCCCTTGTGTTTCTCCTGGACATGACGTCAGTTGCACGGCTTGGTCATGAACATAATAATCACACATAGTTACATGTATATGTGAGTACATATTTTTTCTTTGGGGTCATACATATAGTTTGAAATATTGAAATATTGCATATTGGTCCTACGATAGTACAGTGTATAAGTATTTACCATTATATTTGCTGTTAATAGATATCTTGCTGAATGCTAGCTTACAGTGTATCATGCATTGATTCATAAACATGATCACTGTGACTCCATGTTCATAGACAGGTCAGATAGTATAGGTTAAAAAACTTGCAGCCATGCATGAATTTACAACTCAAGTATATATGTACACTGTTTCAGAAAAAAAATGGCAAATAATATATGGAGTAAGGGGGGGGGGGGGACAAAGCAGGGAAACTGTAGGAGTGAAGGAGTTTAGGAACTTCTGATCATTGTCAACCCATTGGTAATCCTTCCTCAGATTTTATTTTTATAATTAATTGAAATATGTATGCTGATATGGCCAAAACCTAAGCAAAACTAGTTTTGGAGAGGGGTGTCAGAAAATTGAAACTGACATCCAAGGGTGAAGCCAAAAAGAGAAATGGGAGAGGATGTTTTCACCACAGGGGGGATTTACTTTCCCTCAGGCTACAGCCATAGCTGATCATGCAATTTTTTGAAATTTTTACTGGCTCAAAGAAGACCAATTGTTCAATTGAAAGCTGCAGCCAATACAGGCATATTGGATTTCAAATTGAGTACTCTGTACCCCCATATAACCATGCAGCAAAGTAGTTGCTTAGTTGGATCTGCCTAAGCTGTTTGACCCAGCCACTAGGTGACTGGGCTACCTACTCTGACCCAGAACACACACACTGATTAAACTCTTTGTTCCTTGTCAGTTCTCTTCCTTGTCTGTTTTCCTAACCCGTAAATCCCCGTGGGAATTTCTCCCTCTATACCACTGATAAGGTCTTGGAGGCTGTTGATTTCATCTCATAAACCTCAGTAACAAGTTGACTCATAGCTCTAGGTGTAAAGAGCTGGGCTGTAGTATCAATCAAATCATCTCTTTGTATCTATTAGCAATAGAGGATGTTTTGGTAAGAAATCACATGTTGAGTTGAATACACACAGAGTACAGTGAGAGAAACAGCTGTTGGCTAGACTTTGATATGGATAGACTGAGAACTATCGATCTGATGTGGAATATAGCAGTGTAACACAGGACAGAACTAGAGCGAACACACTTCAGTGAACAGGACAGGCTGCTGTGGGTACAGCAACATACAACTTATCAAACTCTCCATCAACTGCATTAGTATCCCTACTAGAGAGATTATATTAGTTGTGCCTAAATACTGGAGACTTTTACTGGCTTATTGGGATACTTATGACTGATGATGAACAGTTTTGTATGACAACAGTTTTGTATAACGTCATGTGCTGTAATTTCCATAACCTGAGTTGGTTGGATTAATTATTTGTTCTTATACCTACATGGTTTTTAGTGTTGATACATAGCAGGTGTGGTGAACCCCAGTCAGGCAGTCTGGGACCTGTAGTTTGTGGTAAAGGAAGTATGCAGCCAGTGTTTTTGGCATTGTCAGGCACAGTTTGTGTGTACATAGACAGTGATGATAAACCAACATCCACAAAAATGTGCAAAACAAGAGATCACCAATGTGAATCTATCAACAGGTATGGCTGTGTTAAATCTATGTCTCATCTGTGAATACATGTACTCCTGGTGATATAAGTTTACATTCGTTATAATCACCTTTTCTTCACCTACCTGTCCATGTACATGCAGTATTGATGGATGCTATTATTAATGCCATGGTTTCAACACTCACCATGAATAATACATGTGTTCTAACTAGCATGTTCAGAGCAGCAATCAGCAGCTATCTAGTAGTCGGTGACAATACTGAAATTAAATACTAACACCCTATGGCTGCTATGCTGCTAATTACCTGAGAATATATTTGAAATTTTACCAATATTATTGCAGTGTACATATATGTCTTTTTTTTATCTTTTTTTTCTTTCCGACAGAAACATACATACATTTTTGTAGTAATATAAATATACACAAACATACATACATACATGCATACATACATACATATATACATACATATATACATACATATATACATACATACATACATATGTACACACACACAAACACACACTCACAATATGCCAAGAGTGTATCACGATATATATCACAATACAGAATGAATATATTGGGATACGTATCCGGATTTAATGTCATAGGAAAGATGTGCTCGATTTTATGATAAGTTGTTGTCAGAATATTATCAGACTTAATCATATATAATATGGATCGCATGGATTTAAGATTTTTGTCAAACTAACTATCGATTACAAAATTTGAACTATTTCCCACCACTATCAAAAGCCTGTTTTATGCTTATTGGCATATCTGTTAGAATTTACAGTTAGTGTACATATCTTGATGCAATACACTTAATGTATATATAAACAAATTTTCACTGCATACTGTATAGTTGCTAGTATATTCAAGAAGGTTTTAATTTCGCTAATTTCCCAAATGGCTCAAGATTTAGGAAATTTTACACCCCATGAAATTTAGGCAGAACAGAGGTTACTAGGGCTAAACATGAAAAAAAAGTATTTATGTCTTCATGTGTTAGTGAATATCAAGATCGTGGCCTACCTTCCCGACAACATGATGCCAGAAACTGGTTCAATGTCACCATTATTGTCATAACACCAAGTTTTCTGTTCTCAATCACGGACTCTGCCCAAGTTCGTAACAAATTGATAAATATATTAAAGTTCACAGGGTTCATATCTAGAAGATGATAATTCAGCAAACGATATATATAATTGAACTTTTAATAAGCACTTAGAGCTATTTGTGAAGTGACCAGTAATAGACTAACAGAAAGTTTGTTTCTCCAAAATAAAAACCTCGTGAATAAGTTCTGGAAACAAAATTGCAGAAGTTTACACCGGCATAATTAAATAACTATAAAGAACACCAGTTTAAAATATGTACAATAATGTATTTGTAAAATTATTTAAACTCGCATTAATTGTACAGGTTTCATACCTCCCATAACTGCTACAGTGATGACACCTATCTAGTACATGTATAGTTAGGGGAGTAATGAAACCTATAGTAGTTATGGGAGGGATGAAACTTATAGCATGTATAGGAGGGATGAAACATATAGTAGTTATGGGAGGGATGAAACTTATAGCATGTATAGGACGGATGAAACCTATAGCATGTATGGGAAGGATGAAACTTATAGCTGGTATTGGAAGGATGAAACTTATAGCATGTATAGGGGGGATGAAACCTATAGCATGTATGGGAGTGATGAAACTTATAGGTGGTATGGGAAGGATGAAACTTATAGCATGTATGGGAGGGATGAAACCTATGGCAGGTATGGGAGGGATGAAACTTATAGCATGTATAGGAGGGATGAAAAATATAGCATGTATGGGAGGGATGAAACCTATAGCAGGTATGGGATGGATGAAACTTATAGCATGTATAGGAGGGATGAAACCTATAGCATGTATGGGAGTGATGAAGCTTATAGCTGGTATGGGAAGGATGAAACTTATAGCATGTATGGGAGGGATGAAACCTATAGCAGGCATGGGAGGGATGAAACTTATAGCATGTATGGGAGGGATGAAACCTATAGCAGGTATGGGATGGATGAAACTTATAGCATGTATAGGAGGGGTGAAACCTATAGCATGTATGGGAAGGATGAAACTTATAGCTGGTATTGGAAGGATGAAACTTATAGCATATATGGGAGGGATGAAACCTATAGCATTTATGGGAGTGATGAAACTTATAGCTGGTATGGGAAGGATGAAACTTATAGCATATATGGGAGGGATGAAACCTATAGCATGTATGGGAGTGATGAAACTTATAGCTGGTATGGGAGGGATGAAACATATAGCATGTATGGGAGGAATGAAATATATAGCATGTATTGGAGTGATGAAACTTATAGCTGGTATGGGAAGGATGAAACTTATAGCATGTATATGGGAGGGGTGAAACCTATAGTAGTTATGGGAGGGATGAAACGTATAGCATATATGGGAGGGATGAAACATAGCATGTATGGGAGGGATGAAACCTATAGCAGGTATGGGAGGGATGAAACTTATAGCTGGTATGGGAAGGATGAAACTTATAGCTGGTATGGGAGGGATGAAACTTATAGCTGGTATGGGAGGGATGAAACTTATAGCATGTATGGGAGGGATGAAACCTATAGCATGTATGGGAGGAATGAAACATATAGAAGAGCTATGGGAGGGATGAAATATATAGTAGTAATGGGAAGGATGAAACATATAGCATGTATGGGAGGGATGAAACATATAGCATGTATGGAAGGGATGAAACCTATAGAAGAGCTATGGGAGGGATGAAACATATAGAAGAGCTATTGGAGGTATGAAACCTATAGAAGATTTATGGGAGGGATGAAACCTATAGCAGGTATGGAAGGGATGAAACTTATAGCTGGTATGGAGTGATGAAACCTATAGTAGTTATGGGAGGGATGAAACTTTTAGCTGGTTTGGGAGGGATGAAACCTAAGCAGGTATGGGAGTGATGAAACTTATAGCTGGTATGGAGTGATGAAACTTATAGCTGGTATGGGAGGGATGAAACCTATAGCAGGTATGGGAGTGATGAAACCTATAGCAGGTATGGGAGTGATGAAACCTATAGCAGGTATGGGAGGGATGAAACCTATAGTAGTTATGGGAGTGATGAAACCTACAGTAGTTATGGGGCAAACACGAATGCAAAGTAATACAAATGATTTTGGTTGCATTAATTTAGCATTAGACTACATTCTGTTCAGAATTTTGAACAGAAGTGCGGGCAAATCAAATAACACATATGAAGGAGTTGTGAGTATATGGAATATAAAATGTCTCGGAATTTGAAAGTACCAAACTTGAATATTGAAGATTTTCTTGTGGTATATATATATCCTTATTTTACATCTGAGTCATAGAGTTAATTTTTTTTCATTATACTTCTCTATAGACATCTAGGTAAAATGTGACTGCACCGAGATCATGGCCATTATAGATGTTGCTTATATGCATCTGGTTTGAGAGTTCTGATAGTATATTGATCATAAAGGTGCTGGCATGCTATATGGAATTAAAAACAGCAGCTGTTATCTGTTTGTATTTTTCAGATATAGATGAATCTACTCGCAGCATTTTAAATGGGGGCCTGCTACTCCAAGTCAGGTCATGATGCATTGGAAACGCCCAACCAGAAACATCCACACTCTCGGCGTCACAAGAATGGTGTGGCGGTCAAGATAGAGTATTCCTCACCTACTGTTCAGACAGAGGACACCCTTCCAGACAGTCACAGGTCCAATGGTGGTGTCGCTCAGCACACAGGCGAGGAAAAGGAGGAGGAAATAGAGGAGAAATCAGCTTTGGTGAATTCTGGTGTAGGTGTGGCCCCATCAGACAGTGGTATAGAGAGCCTGTCCCCTAGTGAAGGGGAGGAACGTGTAGGGAGCCACACTACCAGTAGTGACAGTAAACACTGTGGTACAGACTTCAGTGAGGGGGTGAGCCTCATCCACTGTGCCTGTGACCCCCCACAGGCCTGGCACAGCGTCCACACCAGGCATGGTGAGTGTAGAACTCAGTTGTCTAGTCCGTCCAAATTGGCCAATAGAAAATCTGATATTGTAATTCTAAAACCAAGTTTAAAGAGAACAGGTGCAAAATCTGATAAAAAGTATAGGTTATCATGGAAGTCAACAGACAGTTTAGACTGGACAGCAACTTTATTGACAAGCCTCGACCGCTGTCAGAGCGAGGCCTCGGAGTTTGGTGGGGACGATCTGAGTATCCGGGCTCCCTTAGCAGAGTTTGATTCCATTGATTTCTTGGGGAGTACTGAATTTCTATCCAAAAAAAAGAGAGCAAGCAGTTTTGTTGATTATAATTCCGAAACATTTCAATTTCAATTTGATTTTTCTGGATTAGAATCCGACAGGAAGTACAAATCTTGTGACTCCGCACCAGTGACTCCCCAAAGTGAGGAACCTCCATCAGTCATTGGTGCGGAACATGTCACTGTGGATATACCACATTCCAAGCGATCCTCCCGTGACCTCAGGTAAGTTTGGACAGGTATACTTTTACTTTCCTTGGCTTGCTTGTAACCGTCTTACTGATGTGTAAATCTCATCCCAGTGGTGGTGGCTTATTTCTGTCACCTTTTTTTACTACATTGTAGATTACCAATTTTGCATGCTATGATATTCCAGGACTTTTTAATTGATTCATATTTTAAAAGTTTTTCCAGCTTTCCAGCTTTCTTTAGAGCCAAAAAGTGCACCTCTTGGAAGCTTTGATATAGAATTCAGTTAATTTGCAGTAATGACTGTTTCTGAGTCAGGCTCTTTATTAGTAGCGGAAGGTGTGTACAGAGTCAGATTGGCCACGCTGTATGTTGTGTTCCTGTATTAGATCTCAACAGAGTTGTTACATTGACATCATAATTGACCTATTTTATATGTATGTACTGGTGTGTGTCTCATAGTCGTGTCTGGGTTATTACATTTTATAATAAGATTAATATAAGCAGTGTGTATTTGTTTCTAAGAGCTAATTTTGTGTTTTTGCTAATACTGCTTAGCTGATTGGCTGTTTTTTGTACTGATTATATCTTTTCAAATGCAGATATTTTCCCCTCCTCTAATTTATCTGCCAGTTGAGTCTGGTTTATATGTTGTGGTATACCTTGTTTAAAGTTGTTTGTACATGTACAGTAAAATACGGTTATAACGAATCCCAAGGAACCTGCCTAATCCGTTCTTTATAAAGGTAGTTCATATAACATGTATAGCAAATATATATTGTTATTTTTAGAAACATTGATATATGAAATAGGAATAAACAACGTAAACACAAATCAAGGGGAATGTTTTAATTTATCTTAACATATGTGTTTATGACCACAATGCTCACAGCTTGAAGCTCATTTCAAAAAGTCTGTTATCTCTTTTTGCTGTAACTTGTCACGAGTCTCAGTACATATCGTTGATATTAGCACTTGCCCTGCTCCGCCATGGTGACCTCCACCTAAGCAGCCTCAGTCTCGACTCAATACGTAGATTGGCATCGAAAACATAATTACTCTACTCATTAGTCTAATTATATTACGTACAAAGCATATAATATTATGTTAGATAAACAACCCAACACATACCGGTATTGTCATCGAAAACACAACTCACTGTGTTCAGTTATCGTACAAAGTGTACAAAAGTAAGTAGCTAACATCATGGGCATCTCGGTGAAGGTAGAGACCACTGTAGTCTGGTGTATGACATATCTGTGAAGGTCGAGACCACTGCAGTCTGGTGTATGACATCTCTGTGAAGGTAGAGACCACTGCAGTCTGGTGTATGACATCTCTGTGAATTTCAAGACCACTGCAGTCTGGTGTATGACATCTCGGTGAAGGTAGAGACCACTGTAACCTGGTGTATGACATCTCTGTGAAGGTCGAGACCACTGCAGTCTGGTGTATGAAATCTCGGTGAAAGTCGAGACCACTGCAGTCTGGTGTATGCCATCTCTGTGAAGGTAGAGACCACTGCAGTCTGGTGTTTGACATCTCTGTGAAGGTAGAGACCACTGCAGTCTTGTCTATGACATCCGTTTTTGGAAATTGATTCTTACTACAGTGTTAAGATAACACTGAATTTCACCTGAGGGGACTTCTGATTTGCTTCGTAATAGACAATAATTCACTATATAAAATTTGTATTATGATCATATAATTACTGACGATTACATAGAATAAGAGGGAGATGAGTTTGGGAATCAAAATTAGTTCGCAAAACCCATGAAATCGCAATAAGCCTGTTCGTACTAAACGTGTTTTACTGTATGTTGATTGTCGATGTTCAAGTGGTTTTTCACATCATGTTCTTCACAATATCAAGTACTTACAGATGAATGTAATGTAAATCTACTATGATCATTCTTTATACTATATAGTTTATACTATATAGTTTATACTATATACTATAATACTATATACTTTATAGTATATACTTTATACTATATACTATATACTTTAAAGTAGACTGTGGCCAACTGCTATTGGATGCTGTAACTTTTTAAACTCAAATAAACACATGATTTAAGGAACTAATATCAGCACTTAATTAACTGCTAATTACAGACTTATCACTGTGGTAACCATTGGTTATGTATATAATGTGTGTGGTGTAATATAAAGTGTGTGGTTTGGTTGAGACATGTGACAGCTGGTTGTACAGTGAGTGAACAATGTTTTAGTTGTGAAGTAATATTGTGTGATATTCAATTTTGATGAGAGTTGGGTGGATGAAGCAGCTGTGTTAATATAACATACAACACTATATATATGTTCTGGGGATCATCTGGAGTTAATAACAAATTTAAGTGTTCACATAAGTTCATAGTTAAGATATGATGATAATGATATTAATGTTTTCAACTTTGTGTTGCTTATTTTGTGCTTTTAAGATAGAGAAGTGTGCATTTTTAGCTCACCTGCCCGAAAGCTTATGCCATGGCGCAGCGTCTGTCCGTCCGTCCGCTACTTGACCTGAATGGCCCAATAGATTATGACCAAATTTGGTTAGAAGCATCTTTGGGTGAAGGGGAACAAATTTTGTATAAATGGTCGGTCTGGCACCCCTGGGGGCTGAGGGGCGGGGCCCAATAGGAGAAACATTGCAAATTCTTTAAAATCCTTCTCATTCTGTAGGAATGAAAGGATTTGGTCCATATTTAGTCTGAAGCATTCTTAGGTGAAGGGGAACCAATTTTGTATAAATGGTGGGTGTGGCCCCCCAGGGGCCTGAGGGACGAGGCCAAATAGGGGAAACATAGCAAATTATTCTTTATAATCCTTATTTGGTGTGGGTTATCCTTGGGTAAAGGGGAACTAATTTTGTATAAATGGTGGGTCTGGCCGCCCTGGGGGCTGAGGGGCGGGGCCCAATAGGGGAAATATAGCAAATTCTTTAAAATCATTTTTCTTCTGTAGGAATGAAAGGATTTGTTCCATATTTGGTCTGAAGCATCCTTGGGTGAAGATGAACCAATTTTGTATAAACCTTGGGTCTGGCCCCCCAGGGGCCTTAGGAACGGGGTCCAATAGGGGAAACATAGCAAATTATTCTTTAAAATCCTTCTTATTCTTTAGGATTGAAAGGATTTGGTCCATATTTTGTGTGGAGTATCCTTTGGTAAAGGGGAACAAATTTTATATAAACGGTGGGTGTGGCCCCCACTGAGACCTGAGGGGCGGGCCCAATAGGGGAAATAGAGGTAAATCTTTAAAATCCTTCTTCTACCATAGGGATGAAGGGATTTCTTCCCAATTTGGTCTGGAGGATCTTGCGCAATAGGGACTCAATTTTGTATAAACAGTGAGTGTGACCCCCCTGGGGGGGTGGGGGGTGGGGGGCAGATTGGCAGGGCCCAATGGGGAAAACATAGCAAATTCTTCAAAAACCTTCTTCTTCTATACGAAAGACAGGATTTTGTCCAAATTTGGTATGAAGCATTCTAGGGTGAAGGGGAACCAATTTTGTATAAACAGTGTGTCTAACCCCCCTGGAAGCAGAGAGGCGGGGCCCATTAGGGGAATTAGAGGTAAAACCTTTAAAATCCTTCTTCTACCCTAGGGATTAAGGGATTTTATCCTAATGTAGTAGGACGAGGAATATTGATAAAGGTAGTGCCGTCGCTGGGGCTCTAACCTGCGATCCTTGGCTCTCCAGCCCGATGCTCTACCGCTGAGCTAAAGGGAAATTCCCTACAGCTGACGCTTGTAAGACAACCTAATTAATTCACATCTTTTACACTAGCATCATTGGGCCAAAGGGACTCAATTTTGTATAAGCAGTGGGTGTGGTCTCCCAGGGGGCAGAAGGGCGGGGCCCAATAGAAGAAATAGAGGTAAAACCTTTAAAATCCTTCTTCTACCATCAGGATTAAGGGATTTTATCCTTATTTAGTCTGGAGCATCCTTGGGCCAAGGGGACTCAATTTTGTATAACAGTGGGTATAACCCCCTAAGGGCATATGTACTTACAGCACCTACCATTGAGTGCTATATCTTTACTTCATACCAATTAAAAACATATTCAGGTGAGCGATACAGGCCCTCTGGGCCTATTGTTTCGTGTAAAATTTGTACACTGTGCGTAGTTTCAAATTAGTGTTCATTTGTAGTATATCAAGTGAAAATGGTTTTTAGGTACCAACTGTTAACAGCCAGTACCTGTTCATATCCAAAGTGGAATACTAATGAAGATTTATTGGTATATCTTGTTAGTAAAATGATAGAGAAAAGTGATAACCCCGGTATGTACAGATGAAGTGACATTTATACTGGATAAAACAGTAGAAAGTAGGTAGGGTAAAATGATTACATTTATACTGGATAAAACAGTAGAAAGTAGGTAGGGTAAAATGATTACATTTATACTTATACTGTAATGGGTAAAATAGTTTAATAGAGTATGATTAGTGTTGATGAGTAATGAAAGTAATCATGTGTTGGAGCTGGACCAAGCACTTATCAGAATACAGAGATGGAAGGGCAGTTTGTTAGAGGGAAACACTGATACCAGGCAATGTGCTGATAGCGCTAATGGAGTTATCTAGTGGCAGAGGATGTTGTTAGAATATCAGCTGGCTATCAGGTGAACACTTAGCGTAGTACTTTCTATTTACCCCCCATCACCTGTGTAGTACTTTCTATTTACTAACCCACCCACCCACCCCACCCCCCATCACCTATATAGATTGGCTTTTCCAGTTTAGCCTAATATGCAATATTTTTGCTTCTATTACATGTGGCTTTTTATTAGTTCTGCGGGTCTTTGGCTGGGAGCTTGAAGACAGTTCTACGTTCCCTGTCATAAGGATCTCAGCAGTCGAAAATGAAGTTAACGTCATACGATTCTAAAACTTATACTTATTTGTGAATCTTACATAATAATAGTTATTTTAAATTTGTTATCTGAAAATATAAATAAAAAAGGAAAACAAAAACATTTGATGTAAAAACAACTGATGACTTTTAAATTGCAAAGCCTACATTTT